TTATATATATGTTATATATATATATATATATATATATATATATATATATGTAAACCGTATATGTATGTATATATATATATGTGTGTGTGTGTGTGTGTGTGTTTATGTGTATGTATGTGTGTGTGTGTGTGTGTGTGTGTGTGTGTGTATGTGTGTATGTGCGTATGTGAGTGAGTGAGTGTGTGTGTGTGTGTGTGTACCTGTCTGTCTGTCTGTCTGTCTGTGTGTGTGTGTATGTGTGTATGTACACGTGTCTGTTCATGTGTGTGTGTGTACACGTATCTGTTCAAGTGTGTGTGTGGACACGTGTGTGTGATAGTGTTTTCTATATACCAGTGATGGCCGATACAAATACCTTATATATCCTTCGACATGGTCATATCAGGTGGTTTTGACAGGGCAGCTCAATATGATATTAAACGTGTATCATTTATTTATACGAGTATACAACTTGTTATCTTATTAACAGGAATGTATGGCTGTGGTATGCAATGTATGAGCGCCAAGTTCAACATACGTTTGACGCGTTCGGAGGTTGACAAATTCGCTCGCCAGTTGCAGTAGAGTTTTGGTTTCACGTGTCCATGTGCGCTCATTGAGCTGTGCTGAGCGAAGCGTGGAATTGATATTCTCTATTACTGACACAAGGGATTTTTCATAGAATGCCATGGTTACGACTATTCTTTATCGGAAGCTGCGTGGGCATGTGTATAGCCTAATTGTGAATACAGTTGCCTGCATCAGCTAAGCACAAGGACACAATGTGTGAAGTACAATAAAGATCTTAAAATGCTTAGCAATGGATAAAGAAACACTATGTGCTCCGGGAGTATGTACCGTGAAGTTGTACTGATGAAAGAGCCTGCTGCTCTCGAAAACGTACTCGATGGAGGGACCAACATGCCACACGGTACACATTCTAACATTATTTTTGAGAATACGTACTATTACGTAAATAGGCGACAAACTCACTCGGAGTCTCAGACCTTGTCACCTTGGGTCCCCCTCTCAGTAATTTATTGCAATGAACTCTGGTTGAAAAAGAACAGCAGAAAAAAACAAAAACAAAACATGAAAGCTGTGGTTATAAAAACTCGCACGCAGCGGCAGGCTATTTTGTTTGTAACTAAGGGCATACACACCCCTGTATAGGTATATGTATATGTATATGTTTATGTATATACATATATAATTCCCACACCAAACACACATCTACAACATCTTACACGCCTTTATACATACGACGACCGAGCCGGTGTTTGCACTGTATCGTTGGTAAATTCTTCGAGCAATACTCCCATAGAAAACACAC